TTTGTTGTTGTATTTATTGTATCTCTACTACAGAATGGACGTCATAGAACAACCAGGCCAAACAGAGAAAGAGGACTTACATTAGTTTTTAGAGTACATTCTGTTGTCTTCAGGTAAAACTTCACTGATTTTCTAGCACTGACATAGGACTCTGAAACTTTGTATGATCAAATTATACACTGCACTGGCTTTTTAACTCATTACAGATGCTGGTAATTCTACGGTCCCTGTTTTGCTTGATCCCACTGCTGCCATTGATACAGTACACCATACCACTTTGCTCTCCTGCCTTGTTTGTCATCTCTTGTATCCCAAGAACAACTTGAAACAGATTTAAATCATAGCTGACTGACAGATTATTTTCCATCATCACAGGTGATCGCTCTTCTAAGTCAGCCCCTCTGACCTGTGGTGTACCTCAAGGGTCCATGTTATTATGTTTTTCCTATACAGGCCCAGTCTTTGTTCCATTTTTGAAAAACACAATATTGCCTATCACCTTTATGCTGATGATACCTGTTGCTTACTTTAAATTCTTTGATAAGTTGTTTGGCTGATGCTTAAAATTTGGCTCTCACTAAATTACTTCAGTCTCAATGAAAATAAAACGGATATTTGATGGATTTTTGTCCCTTGTCAAATTTCTCTTTTCTTTTTGTTTCAACTTTAAAATGAGACTACTAGCTACCTGTTCAGTAAAGAATTAATTTTAAAACTGTGTCACTTGTTTATAGGTGCTTGAATGTACTATTGACAGCCTATCTGTTGGACGTGTTGTACATTAATGTCCCCAGACTTGTATCTTTAAGAAGTTCCTAGATGACACACTCGCACTTAAGGGCAAGTGGGCTTTCTCAGTGGCAGCTGTGAAACTCCGAACAGCCTCCTTCTCCAGATCAGGCCGTCATTTTCACTACCAGTGTTAAATCTTGATTGAAAACTTTTTTTTTTTTTTTCACATATTCAGACTAGGACCAATTTTTATTTTGTGTTTATTGTACAGTAAATGGTACCTTAGTGGTACTCAAAGTGCTTTACAACGTGTTTCTCATTCACCCATTCATACACCAATGGCAAAAGAGCTGCCATGCAAAGTGTCTGCCTGCCATTGGGAGGAACTTGGGGTCCAGTGTCTTGCCCAAAGATACTTCAACATGTGGAGGGACCAACTGTGCAACCAGTGGATAAGCTGCTCTACCACCAGAGCCAAAGCCACCCAGTATTAGTGACTACCCTTTATGATGTGATGCTGTTTTGGCTTAGCTTGTTTAAATGGCGTAACTAGTTTTAATTGTAGCTGATGCTGTGCAGCACTTGGGTCAACATTTGTGGTGTATAACTGTGCTGCATAAACTGACTGGACTTTTCTTTGAGCTGATACACGTCTGACCAAACATGGTGATACTTTGAAGTCTAATGAAGAAGTATGTGCATCATTGTGTCAAAGATCAAAAGAAAAAGACATTCATGTGAATTAAAATACATCCATCCATCATCTATACACCGCTTAATCCTCACTACAGTCACAGGGGGCTGGAGTCTATCCCATCTGACTCAGGGTGAGGGCAGGGGACGCCCTGGACAGGTCACCAGTCTATCACAGGGCTACACTTAGAGACAGACAACCAAGTACACTCACATTCACACCTACAGACAATTTAGAATCACCAATTAACCTCAACATGTTTTTGGACCTTGTGGGAGGAAGCCGGAGAACCCAGAGAGAACCCACGCTGCACGGGGAGAACATGCAAACTCCACGCAGAAAGATCCTGGGTGTCCTAACTGGGATGCAAACTGGGGTTTTTCTGGCTGTGAGGTGATGGTGCTAAGCACTGAGTCACTGCGCAGCCCAATTAAAATACATTTCAGCAATAAAAAATGGAAGCAAATGAGGAAATAAAGTAGCAGAAAAGAGATAGGAAGGGAAAAGGATAGCAGGAAAGAAATGAGACTGGTAAAAACAAAAGGCAAAGGAGGAAATGTAAACAAATGCAAGAAAAGTAAAATCAATAAGATTGATGGAAGAAATGGAAGAAAAGTGAGAATAGAATCGACATCATGAAATAAACAAATAGGGAAGAACAAAAGAAAAAAGAAAACGTAACAGCAGGAAAGAAAGGTGACTCTTTATGCCTTTTAATAATACTTTATTAGCATAACATCATAATTTGATAATCATCCTATCTGATCTCCAAATCACATTCACAGTTTAGTTACAGGCTCCTACAGAAAGCAGCAGTGTGCTGATTGCAGGTTACACATCACACATGTCAAATGGGAACCCTTCAACAGGCTGTCTGATGAGTCCTGCTGCACTGAGATGATTCAGTTGTGTACTGCACAGAAAACAGGACATAACATCCAAAGAAACTTAAGCATCCTCACTTTAAAAAGGCACTTTCTTTATTTTATTTTATTTTATTTTTTAAAACCAAGTACAGTCAAGAGGACATCTCCTTTGTCCAAACGCCTCCATGCTGAACTGCTGTATTGCTGTAACCAGACTACACACACAATCCAACAGTGATGTAACTTTGAGGGGTTTGGCAACATGACCATCACAAGCACAGACTGGCTGTTCACCATCAGGCACCACAGTCAGCAATGTACTTTAGAGTGGATTGTTCCCTCCCGAGCTGTTAGGGGGTAGGACGAAAGGGAACTTTTAACTAGCAAAACACATTTTTTAATGTTTTTGTTTTGTTACTTTGTCACAATTATTAGCATCAAACTGATTAAGGTTAAATGGGCTGAAGCTCGCCCTGACCGCTGAATAAAGGAACATTCTGATGGTTTAAGATGTATGCTTGTTTGTGCTCTTATCCAGAGTCAGAGAAGATCAATGTCATCTCTGCTCGTTCAGCACTGAGATGCACCTCCAAAGTGTTTAGCCTAGCTTAGCACAGAGACTGAATGATAACTGATGTTTAAAAAAATGGCCACAAATGCTTAAGCTGATTTAACCCACAAAATGTACTTAGTAGTTCAGAAACTAGCATAACACAACAACCAGGGCAGTGCTACAACCACAAAGAGTTCCTAAGAAGCTGTGTGTGGTGACACCGGCTGTCTAATGAGAGCTCAGCTATTAAACAGATTCAGGGTCTGTTTTCCTTCATACATTATTGAACATGACATAAAAAATTAGACTGCTATTATGAAAAATTAAACAAACGTTTCGGGTTTCATACAAATGTCATTAGTACTGTACAACACTTGACTGTGGTTGGTTAACAAATAGCTCCGATGCTAATGAAAGCACAGGAGCCATTAGACATTTCTGGTTGAATCCTTCTCTATAATTTTTCCACAGGGAAAATGTATGTACAGTAATTACGACCCTTTTGGAGCTGGAGATTAGGAGCAGGAGGTAGAATGGTATTTGAGCTAAGCTAGAATAAACATATCCTAAATCCATGTACTAGGTAAAAAGAGACACAGCGGTCTTTTCACTTGACTTAAGAGAAGAATTTTTGAATGTTCTTTTAATGCTGGTACATACTAAGGGCTCCTGTAGCAGTTGCCTCATAACCCACTTCCTTCCCTAAGTTAGTTTGTCATCATTTGACTACACACAGATTTAATAAAGAAAACAGCCCATGTCATATGTCTACATTTGACCTTCAAACAAGAAAAGGGCTTCAAGATGAGGTTCACATGTAGGAGCCACTTCTGTTGCCATCATTGTTTTATTCTATATTGTACCTTTGTGGTGAAAATGTACAATTAAACAATAGGCCAACATTGCATGACAGTGTGTCTGGCGCCTTCAGGAGGTCCAGTTTGCCCAGCAATAGTGCACACTTCATTTTGTTTAGGTGCTCAGAATTTGACTTCAAATGACCATCAGCCACTCAGTGTTTGTCTCAGTAGTGTAAAACTGTAAGCTTGTTGGAAGGGACACAAAATGCCAACCATGTAACAGCAACAAGAGATGATCCATACAGTTACGGATACAATTATAAGTCATGAGAAGCACCTAACATGTGACCCTTGGAATGACATGTGCCGACATGCACATCAATGCTACTTCATTTTGGGAACATTCCTGGATTTCCATCACGAACATGGAACATTTAGGCATGCATTCATTAAAAAATTAAAGCAGAATTTAGGTTCAACCTAAAAATGTGGAATTGGCCGCCTCTGAATAAGACTTCACTCATGTTCAGTTCGGCTATTCGAATCACATTTCGCTAAAAACAAACAAAACACTGTGAATAATAAGACAATCAGAACGACCTAGCACATACACACTGTTCATGTCAGTCCTCTGTCTCCTCTCATACACAATTGAAAAGTACAAGAATAAGAAAAATAGTCTCCATATTTTACACATATTATAAAATGTTCTTTTACATAAAAACTTCTCTCAGGTAATGAAAATCTCCCTTGTAATATGACATTACAGATATTCCATTTACATTTCTATTTTACATTAACATACATTAAGAGGGAACATTTTTTTTGTATTTTGTGTGTGTCTGTGTGAGTTTTAAGCAGTTGTTGACATCAAACTGTGAAAAATTATAACAATGTCCTCAGATACACTTGATTTTTCTTTCCTGGCTGCTGAACAGCATCAGTGCACTTGGAAAGTAAACTCAAGTGGTTTCCTTTTCGTCTAGATCTTTTCTAGAAGTATCTTACCAACTATCATGTTCACAAAAAATAAATGTGGTCTGCTGACAATTTACGTTGGTTTAGCATCAAGGGTTTTATTTTCAGACTCAGTACCTCATTTGAATGATATCGAGGGTTTGACTGGAGGTGTCTCCGTGGCAGCTCTGCCCTCAGTGGCAGCCTAACCCACATTTGAACAACACAACGCCACAGCAGGACATACTGGAGTTAAATCACTGTGCACACCCAGGACAGTGGTGGGATCAGAAACTCCATTTGTTGGATATGATTATATAAATAATTTGACTACCACAGATAAATATAGTGCTACTCAGTACTCAGTGTTCATCTCTAATTCTGTGTGTTTTCAGGTAACAAACGAGAATGAATCTGTGACAGCTCTCCTGTATGTATCGGCCGAGCAGGAGTGGACAACGTGATCACCTGACCTGCCTCAGAGAGTGGGTTTGTCTGTTTGGGGGTCAGAACAGACTCAGGTTTGGTCAAATCAAGTCTGGTATTTTGTTCCTTAATGAACAGCTGGCCACAAATGACATCTCACAAACTGTGTGACTGTCACAAACTACAATTCTCATTGTTCAACGATGATTGAAAAAAAAGTGGTAATTAAAGAGTTTGAAGAGTAATTTTAAACTCCTTGATCTGAGTGATGAGCTGTGCAGTCTTGCCAGTGACGTCACACTATTCCACTGAGCAACAGGTGCTGATAGGATGTGCTGCAATGTATCAGCAAGAACAGGGAAGAAGACTGCAAGCTAGTATACACAGATACAAGCAATGCTGCATATTAAGCTTTGCAAACGTATTTTTTTGGCCTCAAGGTTACACAATGCATTCTGGTGAGAATCATGGAATATTAACAGAATTCTTGATTGTTGACAAGAAGCCTTGACGAGGTCCTTTTACAAGGTAACATAAGCATGACGGGTTTTCTTCCACATCCTCGGGACACGAGTGTTCAAAGCCGGGTTAGACCAACATGGCATTGAGTAAGCGTTTAGACTATCAGAGGGCGCTGAGCACATGCAGATTATTGAGCTCTGTGTAACACTTTTTTCAGGGTCTTGCTCTGAATTGAATGAGAGAGTACTGAATTGCTTGAATAACTAGAGAATACAGTAAGATAGTGCATTATACAAGATAGCTGCAGTTGGGACATTAGCCAAGGCCAAGCTCAAGAGAACTTTATACATTTCCTATTGTGTGCTGATTATTTTCTGACAGTTTTTCAGTTTGAGATTCAGGTGAATTGGATTTTGGTAAAATGTGAAGAAGAGCATGTGACAATGAAAAAACGCAGTGTGTGACACAGTCATCCAGCATCTCTGACTGTAAGGTAACAGCCCCAAAGCTCCAAGACATACACACCAGTTACAAACGTATATGACCCAGATAAGAGTACAGGAGCACTCCACATGACAGGCATTTCATTATTTTGGCCCCTGATATTGATGCTTGATTCCATGTTTCTGTATTTTGTTTGGTCTAAGATGAAACAGATGTCTCCACTTAATAGATTCTTAAATTTACAGAGAAAATCATATAAAAACACCTATGTAACACCTTTTCAGGCCCTTCTCCTTCTTTCTTCTATAACAGTTGTACAAATCACAACGCAAATGAGTTTGTATAGTTGCATGTGTACGCTATAGTTCAAGTAGTGCACTACTTTAATGTTGTCAGAGCAACAAACAATGTGGTATGGTGTGTCTTGTGTGTACAAACTGCTTGGGCGTCTCCACTTGCTATTTCGCTTCATGAATGTGCAACAGGACTCTGTGAATGTACATACAGAAAAAAGAGGGTGTGGTGATTAATAAATGCTCTCTCAGCCAATCACATTACTGCTCTCTGAAGGAGCTGTGCTCTGGTGATACTCTTCTGCAATCAGAGGCTGCAAGTTTATGAACATGAGCGTCCTTCTGCCTTCAGAGGCTGCAGGTGTTTATTGAACTAAAGAAGAAGCTTACACTGAGAAGAAGATACTGTCAGAATCAACCATATTTGTTTATATAGATTCATTTAGACTGATTAGACTGATTTACTGGTGTTTCTGCTTTGATCAAAATAAACCTTTATTTCACATGCCAACCAAATGTAATGACTGTAAGGCAAGTAGTAGTGGGTTCAAACATATTTTTAAAATGATTTTTCAGTTACTGTTGTGCTTGTGCTGCAAATACTTCACTTGCTGTGGTTGACAAAAATCATCCAAGTCATCGTAGTGTAAAGTGTCACCAGAAAGGCATTTATTTGTGGCTAAGATCCAATTTCCACCAAAACACCAACAACTTTCTTTGTGCTGCTGCATTTGAATGAGCCCCACACCTGTCTGGTCTTCTGCTTCCACCTGTGCACCATGCGCTGTGCACCGGGCATCAAAATGTCACACAGATGGACAAAGAGAATATCAAAATCAGAGCGATGCTAAACTGACACGCTTGTCTTGCTGTGAAAATAGAACCCTTAATGTTTTACACTCTATTGATCTTTCATTGTCTTGTTTGATTCAGCAGTTAAACTGCCGTTATTAGTGATGTATCTGATTGGTGCACCTGTAGGTTTGGAGGTTTGCAGGTTTTGTAGTACTTCACAAGCAATTTTGGATAAAGACCTTTTCTTAACGTGTTGACATCAAACTGACGTATGGCTTTTACGGGAGCATTTATACTCATTTCTCAGTTTTGCCCATATTAATCAGTTAATACATTATGGCATCTAAATCATTTCCATAGGCTTATTATAATATAATAACACAAATAATATATATTTTTTTGCTTACAGAACCTGACTGTTCAGCTCCAAATGTCACCTCGGTCACATGTTGCAGACATATAAAAAGTTTCTACGGGTTGCCTGTAAATTGTAAAAGTCAATAATCCACCAAGGCTGGCAAGAGGTAAGAAACTAGTAGACTGTTCTGAACGAGGTTTGTGTGGTCCTGTCAGTGTACTTAACCTGTCCACACCTCCCTTCACTTTAAAAAGAGAAACTTGCAGGGGATCAACAGGGAGAACTTTTAGAAAAAAAAGATGCTGCTGAGTCTGTCCTCTGACAGATAACTGGACAGTTATCTGGAATCGTCATGGTTACAGCACTGCGACTGTAACATTCCATAATCCCTTAGTTACAGTCAAGGTGTCATTTGTTGTCATGGCTACAGTGTAATTATGTTGCCATCCTCTCTCATGCTCTCTTGACTGCTATTAGCTGTGTGGGCAGGGTTTCCGTTGTGATTGGACATCATCATAGAGCTGTCACTCAGGGATGCTCCGATGCTGCTGGGCAACGAGACGCTCTGTGGGAGGGACCTACCCACAGTGAAGTTGTGTGGCCTGTTGCTAGGTGAGTCTCTGTTGAGGTTAGTGCTGTTACTGTTAGTTACCCTGTGGGAGTCGTAGGGTGTCAGGCAGTCGTTCTCCAGAATGAGGTCGCCGTCGTCATCTTCATCGTCACTGTCGCCCTCAGCAATGCTGTTGCTGTAGTAACGACAAATGTGATGGCAAATGATTTTAGAATGAATCTAGAAGTTTAACATTTTGTGATGAACAAAACAATACAAGCTGTGTTCATCTGTTCTCCTACTTTGTTCACCTTATGTCGCTTCCACCCACAGTCCAAAGACATGCAGGGCAGGTCAGTTGGTAAATTGACCATTCATATGGACATGCTTGATTGTCTGTCTCTCTGTGTTAGTGTTGTGATGGACTGACGTCCTTTCAATGGTGTACCCTGACTTTTGCCCACTGTCAGCTGGGATAGGCTCCAGCCCCCCGTAACCCTCTGTAGGAGAGAGTGGGTATAGCTGATGGATGGATAAATGAGTGTCCACCTTATGAATGTAAGTTCAGCATTCATTTGTAGCATTAAATTTTTAGCTATGGCTTGGTCTCCACCAGCAGCTAAAAGGTCCATGGCGTTCTGCTGCAGCTTTCGTCAGACACAACAGTGTATGGACCTGTACATTTTGCCTGAAACAGCAAGACTTTGCAGCAGTGCTAAGACCTGATCCCCTTAGCTAAACTGACAGTATTTGCATACATACGATGACAAAAACCATTTACATAATCCACTAAGTTTTTAGGAGGCTCACCTGCAACAAAACCATCCTGTACAACAGTTGAAGGACCACACACTGCATGAACAAAAACCAAGTCATTTGGACAAAAGCCAGCACTTTCCTGGATGACCTTTTGGGCTGCCAACAATAACCAATTCAATCCTTCCTCCCAGTCCTTCCCCATTTCCACAACATAGACTCCAATTACTGATGAAATCGCTGCAGAGCACCCTGACTCTGCAGATAGCATGCAGGTGCACAAGTTATGCTTCACTCCCAGCTGTCACAGGACCTGTTTAGACACATGGGAAGTTAGAACCTTGGTCACTGGATCACATACGGAATGCTAAAAATGGAGATGAACTGAGTTAAAGCCTTAACCATTGCCTTCAGTGAAATGGAAGCCAAAGGAAAAGCTGCTGGATATCTCATAGATAGGCCCATCACAGTCAACATACATGTATAACCAGATCTAGATGGAGGCATGGCCCCACGCAATCTATGATTAAATGCTCAAATGATTGTCCTTGGGATAAAGGATTGCAGGCCTAAAACCATTATTTGGTTTACCAGCAAGCTAGCAAGTATGAGCATGACTAAAGAAATAGTGAAAGACTCAGTTGTTAGTTTTTTTTACTCTCACATGCCACAATCATGCACTATTTCCAACGTCAGCTCACTGAAATGCTAGCTAGGTACAACTACCTGAAAAACTGCCTTATCTAGCACAGTTGCAAACACATGGTACCCACTTGTACACCAACATGCCCTCCAGAACAAAGTATCCTTGGGTAATGTCTCACATCTCACCAGCAGACAAAACTTCCAACCCACAGAGTAGATACTGACCACTCCTTTCAATGGCAATGTGAGGCGAACCCCAAAAACTTCTTGCACCAGCGCACAAACCAGCACAGTCTCATGATGTGGCACAGAATTTAAACTCACATCAAAGTTGCTGATGCAGGTGAAAAAGACTGCAAGATCTTTATTGGAACACGTTTCTCACCGCCAACCAAGAAGACAAAGGCGAAGGTGATAAGTTAGTTCAAAAACCTGAGCCCTCCTTTGGGTCGCCCACCGGTTTTGTCTCTGAAGTAGTGGAGCAAAGCATTGTGGGAGTGTGTGATGGCAACTGATGCATAGCTTTTGATTTTACCAGCAGACACAAGTCCTTCCAATGGCCCTCCCCACAGCAGCAATTACTCCATGTGGCTCCATCAGTCGACCAGTAAATGCAGGCTTATGCGACGGACCTGACTTTAGAAAATCTTCACAACCACTACGAAGTTAGCAATCACATCCACCCCACAATGTCTGGAATTAACAAAAGCAGTACAAAACCCTGCTGAAGGAACCTCAGGAACTAACTGTAATTAAGCCTGCTTTACTTCTTGTCTTACTCTTTCAGTGCCCTGCTGATTTTTCTCCAACTCAAGCTGCTTACGCTCTGTCTTTCTCCTTATTCTCTATTTCCGCTTTTAAACATATCTTCTCATGCTCAAACTGCTAACAACTCTTTCTGCTGCTCAAAAGTCAACCCACCTATCTGCATCCCATCTGGCACTGGCGCAGGTAGTGGCTCTGATTCTTGCTTAAACAATGAAACCAAGGCCAGATCCTGAACCTCATCTTTACGTTTTTTTCTCCATACTATAATAATCAGCTATTTGAAATAATTGATCCTAATAATTGATATGTGCATTGAAAAATGCAGGCAGAGTTCTGATTTGTTTTGCTGCTTTATTTCCTTGAACTGGTAGGTTACTACAAAGCACTTTCTGCCCCACGTCTGGTGCAGCCTTTCAAACTGGAAGTGGAGAGCTAGTCATGTGTCATAACACACTTGACACTTGTCGTTCAGACAATATGCACGACAGGGACTGAAAGAGCCACAGCAAGGGCCATCTCTGAAATTGGACCAAAACATCAAGTGACTTTATGCTGCTACAAATGATACTAATCACTCTGCATTTATTCATTCTGTCATTTAATCCATTATTAAAGTAAAAATGTTAACCATAGGTTTAAAGTTCACAGTTTGTGTATGACAAACATCCCAAATCCCACTGGCATGTTTGAAAGGCATGTTATCTTTTTAAAAATCACCAACATTACACCTTTAATCAGAGCCAGTATTTGTAAAAACAAAAAGAATCATCAGATTGTCAACTTTCCGATGGATGGTAGTTTCACTGTGGTGTGTAGCTCTGTCTGGAAAATTAACCAAAACTTCAAATCACGATATTTGATACGTATGTCTCATTCAAAGATTTGCACAAAAATAAATAAAATGTTTGCACAAGATGCTGTAAATAACAAACAATTCTGTGCTCCTTGACTCACCTGCGGCCAACAGTGACAATAATTTAGAGAATAATTTGAGACTCTGAATTGGCCTGAACTCGGTCCAGTTGTGTGCTATTCAGGAAAGTCCAATTGAGTGATACCATTATGCTGCTATCAATAAAAATGTAAGCAGTAAGATATCTTTAGTATGTAGGGTCACTATGTTTTCATTATTGGTAACACCTGTGGACACTTGGAAAATGCTGAACACGTTTTTACCCAGGTGGTCATACCTTGCAGTAATGGGGTTGCTCTGAGAGGCGGGGCTTGGTGAGTCATGTGACAGAGCAGAGCCTGTAGATCCAGCTGAGCCCACAGAACCAGAGTTACCCATTGAGGTTTTACTCCCGCGATGCACAACATTGTTCCTCTGGTTGGCCGGTTTCACGGTGACAATGAGTTTGTGACTGTTGGCTACCATCATGTCTGTAACCTGAAACCACAGAGAGACTCTTACTTCTGGAAGAGGAGGAAGAAACACTGCAGTAATTTCCCAAACAAAGACAAAGTCCATCACATGAATCACGGTTTTTCAGATATAACCAAGAGCAGTGTCCTCGTAAAATCAGGCTATTCCTGCAAGCTAACTGGGATTCCACTGACTTCCACCTATTTTATTTATTTCATTGAATATTTAGTTAATAATTTCTCGGTCCCTTGTAAGGTCTCAATATTTAATATTACTGTATTACACACCTTCAGTCAGCCATGATTTGTTTTAAAAATTTTAACACACATAAATCCAGTAAAATGTCATGTCGTAATTTATAGGCAACATAAATGGAGGTCTGTTATTAGAGTTAATTTTCTTTTTTTAGGAAAATCATATGTGTGTTATATAATGTAACATAAATCATTATGTAACACACACACACACACACACACACACACACACACATGGTTAGGGACATTTTGAATACTTTTCTGTATTTATTGACTTTTCGTGGGCTCAGCAGGTTTCCAATAAGGTTCATTTCTGGCTCTATATTTACCTGATCCAAAGATTTTCCTGCTACATCGATGCCGTTCACCTCGAGAATCTCGTCGTTAACACCCAGCAGCCCCGTGCTTTCTGCTAACCCCCCTCGGACCAGACGAGATATGAATACCCCTGGAACCTGCAAGAGGACAAAAGAAGTGTCAGCCAACAGACAGACAGCATGCCCCAATATCTGCTACATTTTTGTATTATAGTATTAGCCGTTTTTTTTTTTCAAATGTGCATTATACAACTTTAGTGACTACAAACCTTTCCAATATTATTTAAATGTCAAATGGTTCAAAGTTGTACAACCTCACAGTGACAGTGTTACTTCTAAGTACAACAGTCGGGCATTTGCTCTTGATTTACTATAATAAAACTACAGACCCCACAGTAGGGACCTAGTGAAACACCAGTCAGTACACCTTTCATTTCATAGTCCACCATTATTGTTGATGATAGAATCAATCCTGCTTGTCATGAGGAATGCCAATGTTGGACAAATTCCTGGAGAGATGTTTTGTCATTCGTTAGAGACTCTTTTCTTCAGCTGCTCTTTGATCGAGGGGTTATGTTGCTCTGTCTCACTTTTTAAAAAGAGAAAAGTATTTTCTGTTGGATTCAAGTCAGATTCATACTTCGCCAGGTAACATATTTCACTTTTTTCTTGTTTCCAAACTCTTGTGACACAACGGTTTGAATCATTGTCATGCTGAAATATTCTTCCTTTGCCAAGATTCTGCATGCTGGAAGTCATCTTGTCAACCGGTATTTTGGTACCTCCAGCTTTTCACAGTGCGTTAGCGTTGCAGTCAAGACCACCGAAGCAATGACCAGGCCCCTGGTCTCAGTCGAGCAAAGTCTTGACTGAGACCAGGGGCCTGAGTTCAACATATCCAGGGAATCTTTTCATTATCTGGCTTCATGATAAGTGGTCTAACGAAGCTGGTTATCAACTTGGTAAGTCAATCCGGCGATTGTAAATCTATCTCTCTCGTTTACAAGAAAGAGGCGGACTTGGCAACAGATGACCAATCACTAACATGTACAGGTCTACTGGCACCAGACTGACATATGAAACAAATGAAGAGCAATTTGTAATATTAGAGAGACACAAAGAAAACTCCTTATGTAAACTCATCATACACACTGAAAGTAACACAGCTAAAGCAGGATAACAACTGTAGACTGTGTGCATGTTAACATATTAACCAAATTATTAGCGCAGAAGTAGATCTGACAATAATTACAATTGTACATTCAATTAAATGAACATGTAGCTTAGCTGTATTGTTTTGGCTTGTAGGACAGTGCTATTGCTTCAGTTGCAACCCTGCAGTTTAAACGCTCTGAGAGCGAGTAACAAACTGACATAAAAACATAATTCAAAGCGATGTAGGCATAAGTGTGTACAACTTCATATATTTGCCACAAGAACAATAGATTATCTTTCTATCAACCATTATGAGAAATTTAAAAAGCAGTACAGACTAAAAGTAACACAGATGCTGCACCCAAAGTCACAAAGGAAAGCTGAAAAAAAAAACACACAGACTGTGCGAAAGCATAATTAATACGATGAATAATATCACTGTCCCTTTGTGTATAAGTTGCTTAGATATAGGTTTATAGAGTCAATTTAATCATCACTATGCATCACAAGACTGGAGACTGCACGGTGGACCGGTGGTTAACACTGTTGCCTCACAGCTGGAAGATCCCTGGTTTGCGTCCTGGTTAGGATGCCTGGGATCTTTCTGTGTGGGGTTTGCATGCTCTCACAGCTTCCTCCCACGGTCCAAAAACACGCTGAGGTTAAATGATGATTCCAGATTTTCCGTAGGTGTGAATGTGAGTGTGGTTGTTTGTCTCTCTGTGTAGCCCTGTGATAGGCTGGACAACTCAAGGTGATCCTCCATTTTCCCCTATTTTTCAAAAGACCTGATTGGCCAATAGGAGGTGCTTTAATACATGCTGACCTATTTTCTGGAACATAACGTGCTATGGAGCAGGTCAGTTGCTCATCTTAAGTTAACATGGAGATGTACCTCAGAAGAACTGAACCACCATCGTAGCACTGAAAACACAGACAACCTGAAGTTACCTCGATAGCCTTGTATCCTGCTTCGTAGTACATTCCTCTGAGAATACACAGCCAAAACAAGACCAAGACTTTGAGAAGTTGAGACCAAGTCCAAGCCAAAGCCAAGGCAGGATAAGAACAAGTCAAGGCCCAGGTTAGACTAGTGTCAGTCCCATGCTGTTTGCAGAGCTTAAAGTGAAAAATAATCCTGAGCCTGAACTTTTTTGCTCTTGGGTAGGGGTACAATCTTGCTAATTATTATTGTTAAATTAACAGTTCAGCAAGTCTGTCAGTTTGAAAGGCAGCATTTTGTCTAGACTGGCAAGTAGTTGAAATAAAAAAAAGTAATCTTACCTTCTCTACACCCTGTGGTGTCACCCGCACGCTCACCCCGTCACGGATGTAGAAGCCCAGTGGTTTGTGGGTACCGTGCTTGTGGAGTCGTACCCGTCGGTGTGTCTCAGGCAAAATGTCGACATCGATGATGGATGAGATCTGTCTGAAGTTCTGCGGCAGTCCAATCAAGAGGCCTGATTTGTTCTTTGAGTGGGTGGAGCCTGAGCTTGTGGTGCGCAGTCCAGTTAAGCCTAGTCCCTTCTTACGCCTCTGGAGAGAGTTGGTGGCAAAGACGACTGGTTCATCCTCTTCAAGGAGACAGACAGAAGGATGAAGAGAGTTAATCATTAACAACAGGTGATTATCCCAAGTTTGAATGCTTTTAACAGGTAAACATGAACTTTAAAAACATACATTACATGTCATTTCATACAACATATCAGTGGTCTGGAAACCTGTCCTAAAGATTGACTTTGCTGTCAAGAAGAAAAAAACCTTCCTTTTACTTAACTTAGTTTTATTGTATTAAAAAAAACCTCCTAGTATATACTTTGTCTTTCTTAGTTACTGTCTGGGTATAAAAATGTCCAAATGTAAAAAAAAGTTTTTGTGTCACTGCATGATGCCTTCACAATAACTGGAAAATTTCTAACTCTACTTTATACACTGAAAGAAAATATATTGCTACTGAGGGGACTTGATCTGGGGTGTGTTTTCCTCAGCACACATGCTACTGAATGATCACAGAAATATGAATGAAACAGCGATTGATGGAATAGGCTATCCATAATGGGCAGCAGTGTGTCTTTATGATCTTCATGCCTTTCTGTGACTGCATGTTGCTACTGCTGTTAACAGTCAGGGCATGAGAGGATGTGTGCCCTCTAGTGTGTGCTTGAAAGAGTGTCACAAAGAGAGGGGCAGGTGGACTGGTAATTTCAGTTTATTGCAATCATTGTATTTAATATCTGGCTTATCAGAAACGACCTGACCCATAACACGCTCCTTTTCTCATGAATTTATGACTTAAATTTTGGATATTCTTTTCCCTTGAAATATTACCGGCCTCCATTTTTTTTACCCTTTCCTTTCCTTTTTTTTGTTTTGTTTGTTTGTTTAAACCTATAATTGCCCTAAAACACTGCCATAGGAAACCCAGACTGTATCTTAGCTGCCAAAACCTACCACAGAAGACAGTAGTTGAAACATGCTGATAGCGGACCAATAATTAAATCGAACAATGACTGCAGACTTTCAAACATTCCCGAATATCCAGAAGAGATTAAAACCAGCTTTTGTGTTTTGGCAAGAAAGTTGTGAGAACCTACAGCAGGGTTGACCCCTTGCAGTCATTCTCAGAGGGTTATTTACATACTTACAGAGCACCATCAGTGGTTTATTCATATAATCTAATTTAGTGGAACAGTGCACTGAATATTTTCCTGCACTTTTTTATTTTTTTTTTGGAAGAACTTTAATACAATTCAGTCCAAAAATATTATTCTCTGTCTCAGATTTCATGTGTGGATCCTTTACTCCGACTGTATGTGCAAAGGGAATTTATAAATATTTGAATTACAGTGTTTACATCATCTTCTAATTTCACACTTCCACAACTACGCATATCCCCTTTCTTCATTCTAATGAGGAGAGGGTGTGAAGGTTATGGTGGGATGTAGTAAGAAGAAAGGAAAGAAGAGAAAAAGTTCGGAGTGGGGGGAGGGGGTTGGTAGTAGTAGAGGATATCTTTTCCCCTATACTTCGCTTGCAAATATTATTTAAATGTAAAGTTAGACATACGTGATGGGGGCCTTGGTTCTAAAGAGAAAATACTTCTTTAAATGACTGTTCCACACTCTCTGCAGCTATTTCAAATTCTGAAGAACAAAGGTTTTTTTTTTCCTTTGCAGAAAAAGATGCCTGGAGCCATTAAGATTTGCAGCATTGTAAGCAGCACATGCAACAGAGTACGTATCACAACTGAGTATAGTCGAGTGGTGTCTTTACAGTAGGTTGCTAACTACTTTGTAAGTTTGTGGATGCACTGCTCTACAATTTATGCACTATGACCATCCTTATTCACTTTTAATATACCTCTAACATAACCCTGTCCCTGATAATTGTCATGTCACCTATGCTTGTCACATCTGCTATGGTAGTGATCTAGCTGTAATTTGTCACTGCAGCAAGTAAAGTCTAAAATTAAAAGGTAAACATCACAGTAGAGGACCACCTTGCGATCTTGCGGGTCCTTAGGGACCCAACTTGTGAAAACAAGTCATTTTCACTTGGCTGTGGGCAGGAGCAGGCACTGAAAAAATAAGCCGCGGGTCAAACGATTTACTGCAACCAGAAGGAGGCAGTCAACAAATAAAGGTGCACAGAAGATTAAAGTGTGGTTTTACAATACAACAGCAAAGAAAGACAAGTCTGACAGGTAGACACATTTTCCAGTTGATCAAGATGGTAAAGAACTGAACTTCTTCGTAATGTAACATGCTTTAATTTGGCACCCGAGGCAACATGCCTGGTCTGATCTCTGAGGTCAAATCACGCTCTCCTTCAAGATAAAGAACTCCTTCCTTCAAATATAGTTTAAAAAAAAAAGAGATTATTCTGTCTGCTGTTTTGTAGATGACGGTTAGGGTTTAAGAACCCGTGATACTCAAATGTTTTACTTATGCTGTTCATGGTTGTTCTGGCAAACATGACAGGAAGAGCTAAAACAAACAAAATCAAATGTTAATAACTGATGCACACAGAAAACATCTACTAATTCTGTTTATACTGTCAGTCCAACCCTCCCCATGCTGAGAGTCTATCTGAGACTACAGGCTCACTAACTCGCCTTGATTAAAGATTAATATGAGAGGATTGTAGGGGGATTTCGAGGAACCTCTGTATCTGAGCAAGCTGTGGAGGGTCAGGATTCATAATTGAGACACTGAAACAGATTTAACACTGACAGAAATAATCTGTGTCTATAATCCCATCGTCGCTGCAGATGACTCTCTTTTGTCTCAGTCTTTGAGGTCTCGGCAGCCTCTATCAGCATGTATGTATGCATACACCAGGGAGAGCCGTTATTGTACTCTGGGGACAGCTTTTAGCAGTGCTGGGTGCTCAAGAGACAGGGCTGCTAGGTCAGACCGTTATTCCATTCCTGAATGTCACAAGGAACACAGCAGCCACTCCCTTTCTGTTTCCACATCTTCTTTCAGTGTCTGGTTGTAACTACGGCTGCTGACCAGATTCTTTTAAAGCTTTATTGTTTAATTTCAGTGTCAACTAGTGTCCAGTTTGATGTGTAGTCTTGTTGGACATGAACAACAGCATTTTTTTTTCAATTTTCTTGTGAATCCTGAGTCAAACCAACCAATCTATCACTTTAGACCTATTTGTCTACTGATCAGCCTTTGCAAACCATTTCAATAAAATCTGTAATCTTTAAGTCCCCTAAAGGCTTTCCTATTGATGCCCAATATATTGTTGTAAGGGGTTGCAGGGGCTGCTGCCTCGCAGCAAGAAGGTTGCTGCTTCGCGTCCCAGTGGGGGCACTGGAACCTTTCTGCGTGGAGTTTGCATGTTCTCCCCGTGCAGCGTGGGTTCTCTCCGGGTTCTCCGGTTTCCTCCCACAGTCCAAAAACATGTTGAGGTTAATTGGTGATTCTAAATTGTCCGTAGGTGTGAATGTGAGTGTGCTTGGTTGTCTGTCTGTAAGTGTGGCCCTGTAACAGACTGGTGACCTGTCCAGGGTGTCCCCTGCCTTCGCCCTAAGTCGGCTGGGATAGACTCCAGCCCCCCACGACCCTAGTGAGGATTAAGCGGTGTATAGATAATGGATGGATGGATACTGTTGTAAGGACAAAATTTCTTCTGATAGTGGCAATAGATAATGCAGAACATGCTCTGGACTGGAAACACCACGTAAGACCTGATTGTGAATAGTGCATTCTGCTCCTCTCTCCTCATCTCTTCTGCTTTGTGTTGTTGCCTGTCTGCCACACACAGGACATACAAATGAGAGACGGAAATAGACTCTAGGTTCATTGCTACCTTACAGTGAATAAACATTAATTTTGTGTCGCACTTGTCCATAATTAGTTATTCATCCTAAACATAGTCGAATTGTAGTAGACTTTAAGCCCCTCCCCCTCTACCAGCAGTACCTGTGGAGCAGTCAGAGCCTTCATAACAGCAGCAAAAAGGGGTAGGTCACAGGAGAGAACCAACCAGAAAAACAGTGGACACCATCAGGCTTTCATTTTGAGACAAGGCTTAAGTTTCAACCACATTTCTGTGACGTGTATTTCACATACACAAACATACACCAGAACAGAGGGTTCTCATACGAAAGTATTTCAGCAATGCAGCAAGCAAAGCAACATTCCATCAACACTCGTACAACAATTTGTAATGCTGAAGAATGTATGACTGACAACACATCTTCCAACTTCATGCCATGACATCATTTGTTCAACAGTGTTTGTCTGATTAGACCCACACGTTTTACCAGGATATCAAAAGAGACAGTATGCTCACACATGTACGAGTTTTAGTTATGCTAGTCACAGGCCATTGTTTTTATACTTGCACCCCCTTGCTGGTCTTTACATTAACAGACCTGTGGAGCAGACTAGAGGTCAGCCGTTCAGGATTTTCCAGGCCTGACAGAACACAAGGATGACTATTTAAGAAAATCGATAACTGATGTTTGGAACACACTTACAACATGCAGTCAGTATGAGAATACCACATACTTAACAAAATCTTGTTAAAAATGCTTTTGTTTATTATTTTGTTTTGCACATGTTTGATTTAAAGAAAACTTCAACATTTATCCTTTTGGTGTTGATGGGCAGTGACTCATGATCTCTAATCAATCAGGCCAGAACACTGCTCAAGACCATAGAATAACTAAAGATAGAGAGAGGCGGCTAAATGAAAGCATAACTCGTGCATTTTTTTGAAAAAAATAGTTTTTAAAAGGAATTTGCTAAAATAAAAACAATACACATCATCAGAAAAACGCTGAATTTTGGATCTGATAATCGCTCAGGGGCTCAGGGAAGTGCACTTCCTGTGATGATTCACAGGAGGTGTACTAATGAAACTGGTTGTTTCTCTCATTTACCCGCCTCTCCACAGCTTGTTGGACTGTTGTTAAAACAAAGAGGAAAGAGAAATGAAAAGAATCCTAAGCATCATGTCACACATTTATACTGACTTTGTCAAGTCTTATGTAAGACAGTTATTTAGTTGAAGAAGAGAAACAACAAACAAAATAAAGGCAGCTTCACTGCTGGAG